TGGCCAAAAAGCTGAAAGAGCAGGCGAAGGAGCTGGATATCAAGTAGGAATGACAGGGCTGCCCCGGAGCACCAGTGCGGTGGGATGGGCTTGCCATCAAGAGAGATGGTCTGAGCTCCTTCCTTTTGGCAGCTTGAGCTCTGGTGAAGAGGAGGAAAGCAAAGAGGAGGAGAAGGAGAAGACGACGTCGGCAAGATCCACAGCTGATGAGGTGGTGAAAGAGGAAGAGGAGGAGGTAGAGCAGGCATTGGCAGAGATGAAGGCCAAGGAGCTGGCAGAGTTAAAGAGGTACAAAGAGCTCAGATGAGGAGAGATGGGGTAGCACGAGGCCAGCAGAGCACAGCAGGACTCTAGCCATGGGGACAGAGAGGGTCAGAGCCTGTCCCTCTGTGGACAGTGGGTGGGGTTTGTGGGTCTGGGGTCCTCAGGGTCATCTGCTGCACCAGGCAGGTGAAGTGGCTGTTCCAAGCTGGTGCAGGCCCGCTTTTTCCCCCAGGGTTGGGAACCCCTCACAGAGGGATGACAGTGCTGCTGGGTCCCCAGTCCTGGGGGAGATCTGGCACTGATGTGGCAGTGGATGAGCTACTGGGATGTGTGTGTGTGAGGAGTGGAAAGGAATGAGTGTAGCGTCATTCCTTTGCCTCCTTCTCCAGAAAGAAGAAGAAGATTCTGAAGGAACAGCGGAAGCAGCGTGAGCGTGTGGAGCTGAAGATGGACCTCCCTGGTGTCTCCATTGCGGATGATGGTGACACCAGCATGTTCTCCCTCCGGACTATCCACAGGACCCCGGTGTGTGGGACAGGGGGAGGCCAGGCTCCCAGAGCCGTCAGGGCTGGGCCAGCAGCAGGCACATGGCTGACAGACTGTAGTTTGTGACTCGTCCTGCTTGTGTTGCAGCTGCTGAATGAGGTGACCCGGGGGGACATGGCATCGGCAGATGCCCTCCTGGAGATAGAACCTGGGGAGGATGATATTTATGTCTCAGATCATGAAGCAGAGGACGATGATGTGTCCCTGGCCAGTGATCTAGACCCAGAGGAGCTGGTTGAGATAGAGGCCCGTCAGCGCCGGCTGGAGCGGGAAAGGCGAGAGCAGGGTGAAAAGAGGTGAGAGCCAGGAGAAGCCTCCCTGGGGCAGGGACTTCCTTTGCAGCAGCTCTGGAGTCCGGCAGTGCACACACCCCATCCTGGCTGGGGGACACTGATCCTGCTGCTGTTTGTCACAGGATGAAGTTTCAGCAGAAGGAAGAGGAGGAGGAAGGGCAGGAAGAGGAGAATCCACTGCTGGTGCCCCTGGAGGAGAAGTCGGTGCTGGAGGAACGGCAGACCAGCCTGTGGTTCGGGAAGGTGAGTCCCACTGAGATAGAAATGACAGGGCAGCCTCGGCCCCAGCAGCTCCCCACGTCTGCCCTGTGTCCCCTGACCTGCTGCCCCCCAATCCCCAGGACGCCTTTGCCGGCATCGAGGACGACGCGGATGAGGACCTGGAGCTGGGGCAGTCGCAGATGTTGGCTGAGAGACAGCGCGAGTCTCAGAGAGGTTAGTGGGGGGCTGCATCACTGGAGGGGGGACAGAGGGACAGCTCCATGGCCTGGTCTGGGGCACTGGATCCAAACCACAGTATGGATGCTGTTCTGTGCAGGACTGGAGATCTCCAGAGGTTGCTTCCAGCCTGTATCATTACATAGTTAACGAGCTAGAGTTTGCATAGCGTTAATGAGCTGGGTCTCTAGAGGAACGGTCTGCAGTGGGGTCTGCCTCAACCCTTTCTCACCCAGTGGTTCCTGTTCCCCAGAGAAAGCAACAAGGAAAGAGCAGAAGAAGAAGGAGAAAGCTCCTCCTCCAGAGGAAGCTACAGCTGAGCCCTTGCCTGCCGCAGACACAGGACCCGACACTGGTAAAGAGCAGGATGAGCAGAGCAGCGACGACGACAGCAGCAGCAGCGACGACGAGAGGTGAGGGCTGAGAGGGGGGCAGTCTGGATGTTCTCCCCCAGCTCCGCAGTCTTGGAGAGCAGGGAGAAACCTGCCCGCTCTTCTCTCCCCAGGCCACCGTCACCAGTGGGCAGGAAGCGGGGCCGTGTTGAGCCATGTGGCTTCGAGGTGGTGCCCATTGAGAACCCAGGTGAGCGGGGGATTCTGTCTGGACCCCTGTGTGCCCAGTGAGTCCCTCTTTAGGGGCAGGAGGCAAGGTCAGACCATGCTTCTCTGGGCTGGCAGGGCTGCTTGCTGCTCCCCGGCTCTCGGGCTGCTTGCAGATGGGCCAAGCTTTTAATCTGTCTGTATGCTGCAGTGAAAAGAGCCCGTGTGCTGGACGCAGAGGGCCTGGCACTCGGCTCCGTCATCGCCACCTCCAGAAAGGCCCGGCGGGACCTGATCGATGACTCCTTCAACAGGTACCTGCAGCTGTGGCTGCTGGAGCAG